CTTATGTTAAAACCATAAAAAAATAATGATTATTAAACTGACATGTTTTAAACACGGTATCATCTTCACACTCTGATAATAAGAACAGAACAAAAGAAATCAAACCTCTCTTAGGCAACATTTCATTATTCTATATTATTATTTACTTATTTTATAAAATGTATTCATTTCATTTCATTATAAACAAAGTAAATTATATATACAATAAAAGAAAAAAAATAAAATGAAAGGCAGCAGAAAAAAAACTTCTAATATCTGTCTATTTTGTCCCCAAGAATAAATTCAAATTATAGTAATTTAGAAAAAACAAAATCAGGGAAACTTTCTGAACTATTCGTGCACATTATATTTCATATTTTATTTTATTATAATCATAAATTATTACAAAAAAGATCTGATTTAATGAGATTTAATGAGCTGGACTCACTTTGGGCGTCATGTTGTGCGTGATGCAGAACTGCAGGTGCGTGAGGATGCTCTCCATGCTGTGGAAGCCCTGCTGCCGGGTGGTCCTCAGGTACTTCTGCATGGCCCGGGCCATGGGGGCGAAGATGGCCTGAGCCGCCTCCCGGGGGTCCATCACCTCTCGGGGGTGCTTCGGGGACGAGGCGGCCTCGTCCTCGTGGAGACGCTTGATGTGCGTGAAGGCCTCCTCCACCGCGACCACCAGCCTGCAGCAGAGCAGAGCTCGGATTAACGCAAACAAACAGAAAATACAGAAAATACAGAAAATACACCACCTGTGGGGGCAGGAACAGGGGCACGTTTAATGTAAGTTTTTGTTTTGCTGGAACACATCATTATAAGATGAAATCAATGAAATAAGGGCTGCAGCCTGGAATTCCCTAAAAGCTTTTTGACATGTTTTAAGGGTGCCAAACTGAAGGTAAGAACTGCAGGAAGTTGTCTGACACCCTAGTTTTCAAAATAAAAGCCCCGGTAGYGTCTGGAAACATTTAAAGGTTGAAAACGCAGCATTTTTGCCCACTGGTGGAACAAAGGCTGTTTAAGKGTTAAGAAAATTCAAGCTTATTTCTTAGAGTGAGTAAAAGTACTTGTACTTTCCTGATTTTTGTGAAMAGTTTTATGACTGTTACTTAAGTAATTTTCGCATTTTTACCAAAGTCATTTTCTGTTAACTTAGTTATTTTTTTCAAGTACTTTATAGACCTCTGGTGTGTGGTGTCATTATGAAGACTAAAAACCTCATTTTCAAGCAGATAATCCCAGTTTGGAGAAAATTAAGAATTAAAAATCACACTGGGAGAGCTGATTCTGTTCATTACTTTCATGGACAGAATTTCTAGGYGCAGCCGAGGTGTTGAGGGGATCCATTTTGGTGGCCTTAGGATCGCATCTCTGCTTTTTGCGGATGATGTGGTCCTGTTGGCTTCATCGGAACGAGATCTGCAGCTCTCGCTGGAGCGGTTCGCTGTCGAGTGCGAAGCGGCCGGGATGAGGCTCAGTGCCTCCAAATCCGAGGCCATGGTCTTGAGCCGGAAAAGGGTAGAGTGCCTTCTCCGGGTCAGGGGGGGTCGTCCTGCCTCAAGTGGAGGAGTTTAAGTATCTGGGGATCTTGTTCACGAATGGGGGAAGAACGGAGCGGGAGGTCGACAGGCGGATTGGCGCAGCGTCTGCTGTAAAGCGGGCGCTGTACCGGTCCGTTGTGGTGAAGAGAGAGCTGAGTCAGAAAGTGAAGCTCTCGATTTACCGGTCGATCTACGTTCCTATCCTCATCTATGGTCATGAGCTTTGGGTCATGACCGAAAGAACGAGGTCCCGGATACAAGCGGCTGAAATGGGTTTCCTCCGCAGGGTGGCTGGGCTCTCCCTTAGAGATAGGGTGAGAAGCTCGGTCATCCGGGAGGGACTCAGAGTAGAGCCGCTGCTCCTCCACGTCGAGAGGAGCCAGTTGAGGTGGCTCGGGCATCTGGTAAGGATGCCTCCTGGACGCCTCCCTGGTGAGGTGTTCCGGGCACGTCCCACCGGGAGGAGGCCCAGAGGAAGACCCAGGACACGCTGGAGGGACTATGTCACTCGGCTGGCCTGGGAACGCCTTGGGGTTCCCCCGGAGGAGCTGGAAGAAATGGCTGGGGAGARGGAGGTCTGGGCCTCCCTTCTGAAGCTGCTGCCCCCGCGACCCGACCCCGGATAGGTGGAAGAAAATGGATGGATGGATGGATGGATGGATGGACTGGGAGAGCTGAGCTAACAACTAAAACTCTAAAAATCATACATAATTGCTATAAATTGTGCAAAATATCTCACGAACCAAACCTCAGATTTTAATAATTATCATTTAATAAAGATTTCCTTAAATAAAAAAAGAGCAGTGAACAAAAAAATTAAAAATTTAATGCTAAGCTGCTTATTAAACAGCAACTATAACATGTAAGAACACGACTAACGGGAGTCTTTCAGATGGGAGCTTCAGACARATTTGGATTTAACGTGATTAAAAACCTTTATAACATCTTGAGGATTGAGCTGCATCAAACACATCTTCATCCTCCACACGTCTGCTTTTCTAAGGTTAAACTAAGAGGAATGTAACGATGATGATGATAAATCCCTGGCAGCAGCTGACCTGGCCTTGCGTTTGCGGATCCTGCGCTCCATCTCGGCCTCCTCGTAGTAGTACTCGTTGTGGGAGTTGTCTCTCCTCCGGGCGGCGGCTGCTATCATGGCCCGCGACTGGCCCGTGGAGTTGTTGGTGGTGTTTTCTACAGAGGGAGGGAGGGTCAGGTGTTCAACAAACACTCAGCGTCAGGAGAGACTAAAAAGATTTATGGTAACGATGGCGTCGTGTCGATTACTCACCGTCCAGAGAGTAGACCTTGAAGCCGGTCATCTTCTTGGACAGGATGGACTTGGGGAGGTTGAGAGTGGCGGGGTTGTAGACGGAGAAGTCGCTGTAATAGTGGTCCAACACCCAGACTGCCGCTCGCTGGATGCTGGAACACAAATGAGACGCTTCGGTTCAAACATCAGCTGCTGACGAACACAACCCAGATTAGATATGTGTAAAACAAACAGACTGATTTTTAAAAAAACAAAACAACGAATGTGTTTTTAAAAACAAAAAACAAACATTTAACAGCGTGAAAGCTTCACAAGCATCACTTTTTCTTCTGCATGTTTTTTTTTTTGTTGGGCAGTATCTCATTCTGCAATTTTTGTTTTATGTTAACAATTTATAAATCAAAACGTTCAGCTCCTTCAGGACATTCCAGTTATGACCTTTGGTATTTCAGCTGTTTACACTTTTTTAGCTATTTCACTTTTTCAGCTGCATTTTTCCCTTTGAAAATGAATGGAGCTATTTTCTAAATCTTTACAGCACCTTACACCTTCGGTTCTGGTTCTGCTCTTTTTACTCCCTTGAGCTAATTTTAGCATATTTTTCCTAATTTTAGCTTTTTTCTGGTTTTTCAGCTATAATTCTGTTTCTTTCTGTTATTCTGCTATTTTCTGTTTCTGCTTCTTATAGTTTCTTTCTGCTATATTCAGGTATTTGCTGTAATTTTAGCTAATGTTCAGCTGTTATTAGCTAAAGTAAGCTAAATACACAGTTTAGTAGCTATTATTAAGTTCAGCAAACTTGTGCTCCTTATGCTAACTAAAACATTTCCAACTACACTTTAGCTGTTTTTTGCAAAGTTCGGCTGTTTTAGTTATTTTACAACAAATTATCATTTTTTTGTCTTTTATCCTTTTTTTTCCCTGCTGATATTAATTTTTTTTTTTACATTTTCACTATCTGGCTATAGTGGCTGCTACATTTAGCTTGCTTTTATGCTAATTTTAGACTTTTTTTCTGCTATTTCAGCTACTCTTCTGCTCCTTTCTGCTAGTTTCTATTTTTTGTGCTTCTTTCAACTTTTCAAATTGAACTTGTATTCTCTTTTTGCTGCTAAAACATTTTCAGCTCCATTTTAGCAGCTTTCGCACAAGCATTTTCACAGGAAATACAATTTCTGTAGTGACAGTTCGTTCCAGAGCGACATTAAGATAAAGCCTCATCAGAGAGGTGGAGGCCAGTCCTCCGGGGCAGGAGATGGACGGTAGAAAAATAAACCAACTGCAGAGAAAACATTTCCTGGATCCGTCTAGATGTTTGTCAAACTTTTAGCCTCAGCTGAGGGACACAGAAGCCCGTCTTTACATTTGGGTTTTTGTGAATTATTCAAGCACTGATGTAAGAAATCAGGTGAAAATACATTTTTTAACCGGTCCATTTGTGATCCGAACACCTGAGATTTATGCTACTGTGGTTTGTCTAAACATTTAGCTACTGTATTGCTAACTGTAGCTGCTGTTCTGTTTGTTTAAATCCAGATCAAGTCCTTCAGATTTCAGCGTTCACGCTGGATCTGGGGGGGGCCACAGTTACTGCAGGCCAAACATCAAGCTATTAAAGTCATTATGTAAGTAAACCAATTAATACAAAGATCTGTTACCTTTGAAATAGTTTATTTTGCTGCATTTTATCATGAGTACAACATATAGAACAAAATGTAACACAAGAAGTGAGATTAAAGCTATATCAAAAACAAAAATAACAAATATTATTTTTGACATCTCTGACTTGCCACATTTTAAACCAATTTTATTTTTATTTATTTTAGTTTTATCTTCAACTGCTTGTAGTTTTAACTGTCTTGGGTGTCCATATAAATGATTTTACTGCATTTTAGCCACAATTCTGATGTCTCTGTAGATACCACACATGTTTATGTTTCACTAAAAACTTAGAGGAATTAAGGGATTCGATGTTCTTGTCTTTTGTTTTGTTAATAACAGATTTTTTATGAACTTATTCTTGGGAAAAAAGGGGCAGATATTATAAGATTTTTATTTCTTTTCTCTGCTGCCTTTCATTTCATTTTATTTGTGATTTTGATATACTGTACATATTTTTTTCTCATTTTTCTTTTTATATTTTTATTTTTATTGCACATTGTAT